GTTCAAACCCACCAGCCACTCCTCGGAAGGAAGATGGGGCAATCCACTTCCGTAGCTGATACTGCCTCGGAAACCCAAGGAGGGGTTGCTATGAGTTGGGTCCGACTCGATGGCACATAACAACAACAACAACAACAAGCAAAAAGGAATATACTCATGACCACATGTAAATTTGGCATACAATTATTTTTACATACGTGTTTGTGAAAGTCCACATATATAACAGAGCTGAATGGGGGCAAAGTTATAGTAACTTCTTAGTCATAGCCAGCCATTCTGAGGGAGTGAGTTGTTGGACCTATAGCCTTGGGACCATGGTCTTGGGGGACATCAAGTTCAACTGACATAACATAATATACAAAAACATTGTTCTACATTTATGTTGGTGAGTAAGCAACTGGAGTCTTAAAAGCTTGCAAGCACCCATCTAGATGCCACAATTGGTCTCTCCTTGTCCAGAGCAAAGGAAAATGAAGAAAACCAAAGTGCACGGAAACAATGAGTCCAAGGTATTAGTGGACCATGCGAACCTCAGCCTACATGACCATGAGTAGAAGAATTAGATGGTGCCCAGCTACCACCATCAACCACTCAGAAAGGGATCAATGCAGGAGATCCTAGATAGAGTGGGAGAAAAATGTGGACTAAAACTCAAAATTATAAAAAAGATCAGATTTCCTGGTCTGATAGAGACTGGTGAAACCCTTGAGACTATGGCCCCTAGTCAAACAATAGCCAGGCATATAAAGTGAACATTTACATCAGGTAGGTACACTCCTTAGAACCATCAATCATGGGAGATCAGAAGGGCAGTATTTGCACAGGCAGATAACTCAGAGGGCAGGAATGAATGGGGAAGAAGGAGACAGAGAAAAGGTAACTACAGGGAGGACGTGGGAAGAGAGCTACATTATGGGGATTGCCATCAACGTCATGAAACAAAGTATGTATGAATTTGCTGTATGGAAAATGAATTTGCTATGTAAACTTTCACCCAAACCACAATTTAAAAAATCAGAAGTTCTATTATTTGAAAAATCACTAGTAGAGATTAAAATGGAATTGTGAGTACAAATTTTCTCACTTATTACTTTGCTATAATGAATTTATGACGGAAAAATGTTTTTATTTTCAAAAGTAATTTCTCTCCCCAAAGGAAAATAAATTTTAATTAGGTCATTATTTTATTACTTAATTTTTATCTACTATTCAGGGTCTTTCAATTAAAAAAATAATAAACTTCCACTCTGCCCTGGAAACAAGGTGAGAAATTTCAGATGTGGTGAGCATTCTTTGTTCAGTTGGACTCCAGGATCCCAAAATTCAGCTACAATTTTTTAAAGACAGTTATTTAAAAATCATTTTCCTTACTACTAAGTATATGCAAAGCCTAATGGGAAAAAAAAGTAAACCAAAAAAAGTTACTCACCCAGGTGGTAGGGGAGCTTGAGTTACAGGATTTAAGGGCCGAGGGCCTGAACCTCCAGATATAGTAAGAGGAATTATTAATCCAGATGTCGCTCCTTCAGATGAATTTACATTTGTATTTGTTGGTGGCAGAGAGCCTGTACTAGATCCGTCACTTTCTGAAGTGGCAGATGGCGACCCATTGACAGATGCTATAAAAGATTTGGGGAAAATAAGAAAAGATTCTCTTATTTTCTCAAATCTAAATTCAGGATAGAATTCTAACCTTAAAAAAATAAAAAGGTAAACAAAAAGTAGAAAATTTAAGATGAGAATACAAAAGTGAAAATAAAATAAGCAATGGGAAATGTTCAATAGTCCTACGGAATAGGTTTATTCACAATTTCTCAGGTCCTGTCTCCCCGTGTCTCATTATTAATTAAAGCACACACAAATTCTCTGGTTTCCTCATGCCACAGGAAATAATAATTTTTACAACAGGAAAGCTTTGGTATCCCTTGGTTATAAGATCATTTAGTAATTCACATAGCAGATTTCTTAGAACTCCTTTCCTATGAAACGCTGCAGACTAGAGATTAATTTTTGATTATTGGTTATAATCTAGAAAATTTGACTTTTCACAAATGGTTACTGAGCACATATTACATCTCAAAGAAATACTTATTGACTAAACAATCCCTAGAGGAAGACAAAAAGATGTATACTCTTAAAGACTGGGAATATACTGTCAACATGCATTACAAAGAGGAAAATGTATAATTAAACATAAAATCATTTTATTAAAATGATTTGTAGATAACCAAAACCAACTTACTCTTTTAATAACATTTAGTTAATTATGTTGCATTCCCTTCCCACCTACTAGCTGAGTAAAGTAATAAAAGAATATTCTAAGATTAAAGATTTATTTGGCCAATCAGAAAAATTGACATTCCATCTGTAGGTACTTTCATTTTTATTACATGAAGTACGTTTGTTGTGTAACTTTTGTTTTAAAATCTGAGTATTATTTAGTATTGTAGGGTTAGCTGCCATTTACCAATTGTTTGTTAAAAACATAATGGTAATAAGTAACCAGCTCCTTGACTACATGACATGCTCATGTCACAGTTACAAACTCTGCTATAAAGTTGCAATCTTAACTGGACTTACTTTTTTTAAATGAATATGAAATGCATTTTTCATTCAGTGGAGCATAGCCTCACTAACTTCACCTCTGGAAGAAAAACTTAAGGAAAAGGTATTTCTTCATTACCTATAAGAAGATCATTCTTGGCCAAATTTTTAAATGAAAACACAGATAGAAAATGGAACTAAAAGGTTCTGCTGCCAATTACCGTAGATCAATCTCCAAACAGGATGTAATTTAAAATCACAATGTCAGGAGCTACATCCCCTAATGCACGGATGGAATACACACCTGGTCTACGTGGGGTAGGTGGAGGTGGTCGCGAAGGTCTTGGAGGCCTAGACGGTTTAAAACCTCCATTTGAGAGCGATGGAGAATTATTCCCATTGACCTTCCTATTTTCACCAGACGCTGCATCCTCAGGATCGTCTGATCCATTTGTGTTTGCTCTGAATAAGAAAGAAGGAAAAGGAAGGGGAAAGAAAAAACAATGCTCTCTGAATTTAACAAGACCAGCAACAAGACTGAAACGTAAAGTTTTAGAAGCTTGAGAAAAGTTTACGAATTTCAGACTAGCCCTTGGGTAGATTCTTAGTTATAACCTTTAGAGGCCCATCCAGAAATAGAGTGAGAGGTTTTCCCAGGATAAAGAAACACTTGGGACAATTCAAAACTATTAGATATGCTGGTTTGGATTTCAAATAAATTTCTGATGGCTCTGTATAAGCAGGAACAAAGTTATGCTATCAAAATCCCAATGCCACTATCGCTATTATATCACAAAAACAAATAACTTCACCACTGTCATTTCCTTGGCTCTTACTATTATTCAAGCTTATGGGCAGCGCTGATTATCCCATGCCAGAAGGAAGAAGTACAGTTATTTCCTAATGCTGGACACCATTTGCCAGCACCAGGGTATACGAATGTTCAAAGTCAGTGATCTAGACAGAGTAGGACTACCTATAGACCTTTAAGAAACTGTTATTTCTTCAAAGCAATTACATCAGCCGGAGAGAAAGTAAGGCGGAGAAGATTCTAACAGGAAATGCCAGACTGGAAGCTACTAGAACTATCAGCTAAATATACTTAATTCCTCTTCCCATAGGACCAAGTAAGGGAGGAAATCTAGTAACAGATTAGAAACCAAACAAGAGTAGGAAGTTTGGAGATGCTCAGCTAAGGGTCTGATATCTACTACTGGATAAACAATAAGCCACTACATAGTATCAACCTGTCTCCTGAACCTTTAGAATAAGCCTAAACAAAATAATATCCAATAAACACAAATTAAAATAGAGAGGCAGCAACATATATTAAATAATTTTTTTAAACGATGTTCCCTAGAAGTCCTTTGTTGTTGTTGTTGTTATGTGCCATCGAGTCGGCCCCGACTCATAGGGACCCCTCCTTGGGTTTCCGAGGCAGTATCACTACGGAAGTAGGATTGCCCAACCTTCCTTCCGAGGAGTGGCTGGTGGGTTTGAACCTTTTTATTCAGAGTATGGTCTTTGAACTAGAAGTACAGGCATCACATAGGAATTTGTCAGAAATGCACAGTCTTGGGTCCCATCCCAGACCTACTACATCAGAACTTGCATTTTAGATCTCCCAAACCATTTGTGTATAGTACAAAGTATTTCTTTGGGGATTCCTTAAATCCTTATTTTGAATAAAGGAAACAGCTCAGTAATTGATTATCAGCACCTGATTAGTTTTGGCTGCATGCAGACAGTCAACCCCCTCAGCATATGTTCTGAACACGTGAGTGTAGCGGTAGACCTTTCAGCTTTGACACTGCTCCTCTTCCCCTAGGTGCTGATGTTCTAACCTGTTTAGAGTCATACACCTCCCACCCCGAGACGCTGAGAATTGCCTCCCAATACTATGTTAAGAAGACACTCTGGTGGCACAGTAGTTAAAGCAGTTGGCTGAAAGGTCGGTGGTTTGAACACACCAGTCACTTCATAGGAAAAAGATGCAGTCTACTTCCATAAAGATTTACAGCCTTGAAAACCCTAAGGGGCATTTCTACTCTGTCCTATGGGGTTGCTGTGAGACAGAACTGACTTCATGGCAGTCGATTTTACTATGTTAAAGGATTACTAACTAGTATGAAAGAAAGGCTTTTGCTGCTTTTCATAAGATAGACAACTGTTAAATGCCATTATGCTGAGTGAAATCAAATAGGTCAATTACAAAAGGACAAATACTTATGAGACCACTATTGTAAAAAGCCAAGAAAAAGGTTTCACAAAAAAGGAAATAGTCTGATAGTTACTAAGGTAGGTGGAGGAGGGAGGGTAAACCACTAACTAGAGTGTAGACACATATTAATTTGGGTGAGGGAATTAAAAAAAAAATGTTAATGGGTATTTAAGGTTGTTAATTCAAACAAACAAACAAAAAAGCCCTAACAAATAAGTTTTCCTTGAAGAGGCAGATTGGCAGATTCTTTTTTTTTCTTTAATTGTGATTTGGGTGAAATTTTACAGAGCAAATTTACTTTCCATACAGCAGTTCACACATACTTTGTCTCATGACATTGACCACAATTCACCATAATGCAACAGCTCCCCTCCCACTTCCTCCCGACAGTCACTTCTTCCCTGTGTCCATCCCTCCATGCACCCCTGCCCCCTGAGCTGTCTCCTTGTGCATAAACAGCCCTTCTTTCTCTCATGATTGTTCTCTCCAAGGAGTGTGTATCTATCTCAGGTACACGTTCAACTCCTATGCCTGTCTTCTGTTTGGCTGGAAGCCACAGGTGTGAGTTCAATTCCAGACCTGAAGGGCAGCTAGGGGCCATAGTCTCAGTGGTTCCATCAGGCTCTATCAGAGCAGCAAACTTGGTCTCCCCGCCATTTTTTTTCCCCAAATGATTTTGAGTTTTGCTCCACATTGTTTTCCCTCTCTATCCAGGATCTCTGACATAGATCCCCCTCCGAGTGGTTGACAGTGGTAGCCGGGCACCATCTAGTTCTTCTGGTCTCATAGTTGTATTATAGGCTGCGGATGGCATGGTGTACCAGTCTCTAGGACTAACTGTTGCCATGAATCTTTGTTTTTTTTCATTATTCTTTGCTCTGGATGAGGAGAGACCCATCGTTGCATCTAGATGGCTGCTTGTAAGCTTTTAAGATCCCAGTTGCTACTCACGAAAGCAGGAGGTGGAACAATGTTTTGTGTAGTATGCTATGCCAATTGAGCATAATGTCCTATGACTATGGTCCCGAGCCCACAGGTTCAACTACTCGGTTCCTCTGTGTAGGTGGCTGTGACCAAGAAGTGACTACAACCTTATCCCTTGTCAGGTGTCCTACCACCAGTCGCATATCTCCGAGCCGCCTGTATTGTCAGGGTCACTCAGTTCGCTGTCAGACCGCAGCTCCGTAGGTCTCCTTTTTTTTTGGTATTTTCACGCAAATTCTTCTGCTAGTTGGGGTTTAGTCCAAATCTGCATCCTTTCCTTCAAGGCTCAGGGGTCCAAGATTATCTTCTGTGTCTGTGTTAATTGGTTTCCCTTTTCTTTGTTGAAGAGGGTCTGTGCAATCCTTCTGCCTAGTCCACCATCTTGCCCCGCCTCCTTATTTTCTCTCTTATCGAACTTTGCTACTAGTGCTGGGGCAAGATACTATCTCGTTGTTGTTTTGATTTGCATCTCTCTAATGGCTAAAGAGGAGCTCTGGTAGCATAGTGCCTAAGGGACTTGACTGCTAACCAGAAGGCTGGCCGTTCAAACCCACCAGCCACTCCTCAGAAGGAAGGTTGGGCAATCTACTTCCTTAGTGATACCACCTCAGAAACCCAAGGATGGGCTGCTATGAGTCAGATACGACTCGACTCAACGGCACATAACAACAACAACAATGGCTAAAGAGCTCTGGTAGCATAGTGCCTAAGGTACTTGACTACTAACCAGAAGGCTGACAGTTCAAACCCACCAGCCATTCCTCGGAAGGAAAGTTGGGCAATCTACTTCTGTAGTGATACAGCCTCTGGAAACCCAAGGAAGGGTCGCTATGAGTTGGGGACGACTCGACGGCACATAACAACAATGGCTAATGATCGTGAGCATTTCTTTATATGTTTGTTGGCTGCCTGAATATCCTCCTTGGTGAAGTGTCTATTCATATCTTCTACCCATTTTTTAACTGGATTATTTGTCTTTTTGTTATTGAGGTGTTGGAGTTTTCTATAAATTCTAGAGATAAGTCCCTTGTCACATATGTCATTGAAGAGGCAGATTCTTTAGGCAGTCCAGTATGCTACATAAATAGCAATTGCAGGGAATGTGTCATATATAGAAAGGCAGAAAGACATATTCTACTCAAGCTGTCCCCATAATAAAGAGAGGGAAAAAAAAAGAAAGATAGACAACTGGTAAAATGAACCAAAAGTGAGAAACAGGTTTCTAGCTCTAACTCAAGGAGCCCTGCTGGTGCAGTGGTTAAGGTGCTGGACTTCTAACCAAAAGGTCAGTGGTTCAAACCCACCAGCCACTCTGTGGGAAAATGATGTGGTGGTAATCTGTTTCCGTAAAGAGTTCAGCCTTGAAAACCCTATAGGGCGGTTCTACTCTGTCCTGTAGGGACTCTATGAGCTTGAACAGACTCAACAGTAATGGGGAGGCTAGCTCTGACTCTACTACTGACTTAGTCTTATATGACTAAGAAGGAGTTATTTTCTCTGCACTTCACAGGTTCATTATTTGGTATACATGATACCTAAAACCCCTTCAGGTATAACTAAACTGCACTTCCAGTGCTAGACAAGTTTAGGAATATGTGGGTGAGAAGGAACAGTCAGGGCATGAGGCAAATCTGCAAATGACGAACGTGTGGCAGAAAATGGATTCCGAAAACACTCTTTTGCTGCTGGGGATTAAACTGTTGGTGATTTTTAACATCCATGTTGTTCACCCTTCTAACATCTTGCCTTCCATTTCACAGCAAAGTTACCTAACAAGGTGCATAGTATGATGACTCCTTCTATTTCTTTGATATTTAAAATTGCTTCTCTTCTTAGATCTTCTATTCTAAAATTCCTGACCACGACCTCCTGTTCCTTCCACTTGCCCTATTTTTCTGCATCCTTTCTTCAGTCTCCCCATGACCTCTGACCCCCTTCTTTCTTCACAGCCCATCAGGCCCCTTCAAGTCTCATTAGAGCTCTATCCTAGGCTACTTTTCCTAGCACCTTTAAATTTCTCACCCTTGCCCAATCAGCCCCTCCCCTAACGTTTTCATTACAGCTAGCCCTTTATGTGGGAGCTCTGTTAGCATAGTGCCTAAGGCATTTGACTGCTAACCAGAAGGCTGGCGGTTCAAACCCATCAGCCACTCCTCGGAAGGAAGATGGGGCAATCTACTTCCGTTGTGATACTGCTTCGGAAACCTAAGGAGGGGTTGCTATGAGTCGGGTCCGACTCGACGCACATAACAACAAC